GTGAGTGAACAATATAATAACCAAAGTGTGATGGTCCTGGTTCGAGTGAAATCAGACTCCTGAACTACATCCGATCGACCAAATAATAGTTCTCACCTTTTGAATTAAACAAGTAACACAATATGAGCAAAATTGATGTTGGTCATCCGTTTTACGTGCTCACAATCAGCTGTCTACGCACATTAAATAGGTCGAATTTTATCATAAGAATACGATATATGGATATTTACATAATTACATGGGTTCAGACAGAAGGCACTGGGTTCCCAAAAACTTTGGGTACGGATGAAAGAAGAGGAGGAGCATGTTAGCATAGAAACAGTCAGGTAATGGGAAACGATTAGCCGTGGTGGAAAGAGAGTTGGAGATGGTTACGTAATACGAAAAAGATACAACCTTGTTTGACAATGATTGACTGTAGCCCAAAATAAACAAGAACCAAGTGTATTCACAATATTCCACGGTAAATTATGTCAATATTCTTAAATAATGAAAAGTTATTGTACCATTGTATATGTAACTAGTAAAAGAAAATCAAAGATTGTTGGTAATATTGATAACATTATTCTTGCAGTTATCATTATTATTGTTTTTACTATTATTTCACATTCAGCCAAGGTATAACCAATACAGTTACTTTGTTAGTGGTGAAGATTATAATGGTAAAACGGTTTATAATTCCGAATAAATCAGAAATATCTGTGCTCTGAAACAAGCAAAATGGGAACAGTTTTCTGACGGTTATGCTCAACACAAACCAAATTATTCGACGTTAACAGTCAGTCCAACTAAGAGCGTTAAAAGAAGATAGAGAAATCAAAATCGCTAAAAAGACATCAACAAATGATTCAGTTCATTTCGTTTTTAGCATGGAGCACCAAAAAGGTTCATTCACTTTGTCTGTTATACCAAAAGAAAATGAAGATCAAAATGGAAAACACTGCAACGCGAAAGCAGCATTCTCGGAAAGAACGACAGCAGAATAGTCACTGGTATATCAGAAACCAAGTAATTAGATGCAGGGCAACTACGAGGAATATTTCAGTCATGTGTAATATAATAATAATAATACCAAAGTTTCACATGTTTTTCATCCATTGCTTGTACGATTCTGTACGCAGTTTTCAGGAATGAGCTGCGACGGTACAAAGGCTACCTAGGGAAAATGGGAAACTTATAGCCCTAAATTAAATGATTTGTAGTTCAAATTGTGAAAAGTCCTATGCAACCAGCAGGTAGTTCTAAGGATGAGTTGACTTTTATCATTAGCGTCCCAATTATGCAAACTGATCTTGGATGCGGTTCACGTGACAAACTGTCAAATTTTTATTTCGAAAATGGTTGACAGGATTATTGTTTTTGCGCAACCATATCGGTAAAAGATACTCGCGATCAAACATATCAGACTGACCTGAGGCTTCTAGCCAGCACAAAATTCCCGGACCGGCAGTTAAAATATCGTGCGTGCGAGCTACCGTGCGCACAAGTATGCGCACCGACCTCAATCAGCACATGTGACGTTAGAGTGCGGTTAATACCGCCCCCGCGTGCACACGCGTAAGCGAGATACACAGACACGCCAAACAGCTTGGATCGCAGGTATTGGTTGGCAGTTTGTGCTGCGTGACTGACACAAATCAGTGGACAGACAGGTCATGCATTCAAACGAACCAATCAAAGCATAGCACTCAATGAGGCTTCTGGTTCGGACGGAATCGAGATGGGTGTGTATATGGATAATGGTCTACGAGTGCTGGTGTGTGTGCTCGTCTCCATCCCCAGACAGCCAATCAAGCTAGCAACACCTGGGGATTGACAATTGTAATCACAAGCCTCATCATTGACACAGACAGCACAGCTATTCACTGTGGTTGAAACCATCGAAAACTTTTCGACACGGATGTGCCTCACCGGATCGGTTTGTGTGTTTCTGTGCCCCCGGCTTGCATGTGTATGTTAATTTCGGCCACTTTTGCACACAATTCGCTCCATCCCCTGTCCTCGTCCTTCTGTGTGGCGGATCGTGATGTACCCTTTGGTTGGTCCGGTGTGAAAGCGAGTCTCCAACGGAAAGCGATCTGAGGACAGGAGGTGAGTGAATTAGCGGGGAAAAAAGTTACCGGAAGACAAAACCGCATCTTTCCAACTGTTATTTGTAACCTAATCTGTGCCCGATTCTAGCACCACCACCACCATCATTAACAGTGCTATTCGGCAACACGATATCATCCAACACCAAGTGACGGCCGGTATATCGAAGTGAATTATCGACCTTGTTTCATCCTATTTTTGACAGCCCTTGTGTGCGGAAAATTCGTGTTGTGCATTGTCCGTGAATAACTATCTATCCATTCATCTACTCGTCCATCTATCTACCTCCCTTCTTGCCAGCCATCTGAAACGGCTACCACTATCGTTGATCTAAATTTTGGGGAAATACACAGACATACACGGNCGGACAAGCCAGTGAGCCAACGATCCTACACAAGCATACAATCAAATTAGAGATTGGCTAGAATGGCGAAATTCCGAAGTGAACTTCGTATCCCAGTAGAACTGGATCAACGCAGTTTCGCGGACAGATATCGTGATCGTTTAGAATCTGACTGGTCTGATCGCTTATCCCGTAGTNCTCGCAAAAATCCCCGTCTGCCTTCACTAAACCAACAGTTGGCTTATCTGGTACTACCGCCCCGAACACCACGACCACCAGCACGACTGGCTCATCACCATCTTTTGTGCCCTGGCATAGACATTTCTCAAACGGATCAAATAGCCCCACTGATTTCGCCGACGGTAATGATTGGTTTGAGGAAATGCGTCGTCGTTTCGACGAACGTCGTCGACGCTGGGATGAAGATGTGAGACGAATGCGGCGGGAATTTTTCACGCTCAGTCCACGTCAGCACCAGCATCACCATTTGACAAGATCACCCAGCCCTCCCAGGATGCTGTTACCTCATTCGCGTACTCTGTCATCAAGTCAGCCGTTCTCCACCACATATGAGACCGACCCAGACGGAACGGTGCGATTTGTGGCCAATTTCGACGTGTCTGGTTTCGATCCCGAGCACATGAAGGTAACTGTTCGCGATAATGAACTGCTAGTGACCGCTCGAACGGAACGTAGAATGGGGGGAAATTCCACCACTCGTGAGTATACACGTTCAGTGAAACTACCCACCGGGGCCAATGATCATTTGGCAGCAGCCACGTTAACCAGTGATGGGATTCTTACCATCAGTTGCCCCATCAGGCGTCATATACGATCACGCAGTTCCGGTCGTCTGGAATCTGATGTACACAGTACTGACACTCGTGACTCTTTCAGTCCCCCTAGTGATAGTCACACCTCCGGGGAGAATACCGCTGCACAGATCGTTGACCGTACAAGAACGAGACATATCGAATCTGGCTATCCATCTTCCAGTCTATACACTTCACCCACATCCACTAGAAGTTGGGGTACACCGTATCGTCGTTCAATGACTAGTTCCGTGGCAATGCGTCCGAAATTTCGATTGGAGTTGCCTATTGATTCCGACTATTCTCCAGCTGAGATACAAATTCGAACCCTAAATCGTCGTATCTACGTGAATGCTCGCCACGAGGAGCGTGGTACCAACCGCACAGCAGTTCGAGAATTTTCCAAGGAGTATGATATTCCAGACAATGTAGATCCGGAAAGCTTGGAAGCGAAATTCGAGAACGGTATGCTCTATATTGAAGCTGTGACTAACTGATTTGGCCAACGTGTTCCACCATACACCATATTCGGAATGAATTCTGCCGATTTAAAAAAAACAGAACATTCGTTTTCGTTTCTATACAAACCGCTCCACTCCTTTTTGGTTCTACAGCCGTTCGTCGCGGCGTAAATTTACTGTGGCCTCTTGTTTGTGTATGTGTGAGGGTTTGAGTTCAGTAGTCTCCTGGCGCGCAGCTATTCGCATTCTGATAATTTGTGCTTCCCGCTCAATTCCAGAGAGAACAGGACTTTATTTTGGGATGATTTGTACTGGATCCTGATAACATACACCCCACACATACAGACAAATACCTGCGCGCGCACGCACAAAAATATAAAAGTAATCACTTGCCAACGAATAAAGTACATTGCAACCAGACTATATCTCATGTCCACTGTTGTACAGCACCAAGCTATTGCCTTTCAGTGCATCACAGTCTGTGTGGATTTATGAGGCGAACGAACAATCAATACAAAAAGGAGCGCACACTTTTCCCGACAGCCCTAACCTGTCCGAACACTCTCCTCCAATTGCCCTTCGGTTCCAAATCAACTCATCTACAGTTTACACACTCTTCGAGCGTTCATCCCATCAAACCATACAGACGTAAACTTAATCAGCAAAATGTATTCCCTTCTTTAAAATCTACTCACCTACAAACCAATCATCCACCCGCCCACCCCCTCCCCCATCAATCGAGCGAGTATCACTCACTTTTGTGTGTTCGCGTACACCTGTGCGCGTGGGCGTGTGTACTCTGTGAAAGATCAACTTGTAGCAATTATCAGACGTCTCTATTCTCATTCGGCGCATCGGTGTTGGTTGTTCAGATCGATCGGATTGTTTAGGGTAAGCAGTTTGGTGTCCCCCCTCAGGCATCACTGTTGTTTGTTTCACATGTGTCTTGCGCAACTAGGTGAGAGATGTTTTAAGAATTATCATGCGATGAAGCAGATAAGCCTGTCGAATGACAAGTTCTCCCACTTTGTTTGTAAGAATAAACGATCTAAGGTTTTTCATAGATCAGTCGAGCCAGATTCGAACCAGGGACCTACTAGTCTGTGTGTAATAACTGTTTTAGATAAGCCTAATAGATTCAGGAAAACGGGATTATTCACGTCTTTTTCTGGAAACAGTTCATAGTCTAACTGTTGTGTGAGCCACACACCCGAGGTTAAATGATTTAGACCGATTGGCTTAGTTTGAACCAGGTAGAAAGGACTGTTATCAGTGATTATTACGTCATCACAACTTATCCGGTTTGATTCATTTTATTAACGTTGCACGGTATGGAAAGCGAGATTTTGGAACTCATTGCATTATATCACTCTCACGCGAAAGTGAATCTTAAATGTAGTCGGACAATAATGTTATTAAGAATTCTCTAACGGTCAAAAATAGCGCATTACACACGCTTTCTCACAAAATGGTCTGACAAAGTTGAAAAATCAGTTTTTCTGTTCGATTTGACGCAACTCTTTGGTGTACGCATGAGGTCTGTGGAGAGTAAAGTCAAACTTGGGATCGAAGACAGATAAGGTACGGGGAAAAAAATCCTATTTAATTCGACGCCATACCGATCATAGCAGCATTCAAAATGCTTTCTCAGAATATATTTGATGATATTTTCATCTGCCTAGGGATGATGATTTGTGAGAAAAGCAACAAGCTCGGCGGCTTATGCACCCGCCTAATGCTTCTTGGATGCGCAATACTCTCGATTCAAGCATGACTTGCAGTGGTTACTCGCACTGCGAATTAGTTGCCATTGCAAATGATTGCACAGAGCTGCGACTCGAACTGATCAGCTGTCATTTTCATCCCATTGTCACCCTCGGTTCCTTCTCAGTCAGTCGAACACTCCGGAGGTGGTCGACTTGAGTTTCACTTGTGCATATTCGTCTGCGATTCGCGTGAAAAGCGTATGTTCCCAATCTGGGTCTAATCGGAAGTAGCGATTTGTGTTCTCGTGGTTGTTATCTCCAGTATTTCCCTAGTTGTTTGCAGTGATCCGACAGGAACGGAGAGAGACACAGCAGACCATCCGTTTGAAAGCCGCTCGAAAACAAAAGTCAGGTTTTGCATGCGGATTCGGGTACACACGAAACAATTAGAGCTGTGTGGATTCCATCGTGACGAACGTTTCACTCAAATTCGTTGTTGCATAGAGTTTGTTTAGCCAACCGTATTCATATCACTGTATTCATTTCCACTCATCAAATGAAAAACATATACTCATTGAATGAGTGATATCGGAGGTGGTTATTTCCTCGACAATCACGACTGCTTGGTATTTGCATTACTGAGGAAAACTTATTCAGTCGAGATTGATTGACTAGCAAAAAGCTAGCAAGACATACCAGGTACCTTATCTACTGCGCTTGATCACTTCTAATTACCAGGTACATTTATTATAATGGACTGGCATACAAATGAAAAACGATCCCATCGAAGTTACTCAAAGTTTACCAATTTTAACACAAGGCTCAAATCTGCCAAGGAACATAATTTAAAAAAAGAGTTCGTCGTTGACAATGCGTTTGCGTGTGAACGGGAAAGAGAGTTGTGGATGCGGATGGCAATCGGATCAAGACGGGTTTGTGCATCTAGAAAAACTATTCTATCTGATTAGAGTGCTGTGGTAACACTAACGTCCGTTTATGCTCAGCGGTAGCTTATTGATAGCTCTTTTTTGCTGAAAATGATCTAAAACGATGTTGGAAACCTGATAAACCCTTTCTGGTTGCGCCCAGAGCAAGCATTATTTGAGAACATCAGGTTTAACAATGAAATTAATTGATTTTATACATGTGAATGTCTTATCTAGCCTCAGCTTGAAACAATGAGGTACTTTGGATATGTAGGTGATAAATTAGCCTTCTTAACGAATTATTTAAAGTTTGTTTGAAATATGACACCTAGATGCTTTTCCTTTGAAGCTTGTCGCGGTGGATGGTTTTTGAACAGGTGTGATACGGTGATACGGTTTCGCATTTTGTTACATTGAATTCAGCCTAAATTCAGTTATTGAGAGAACATGCTAGGCGATTCCTGAAGAGTGGAAGGGACCTCAGATAATAAAGATGTTTACGTCTTGTGTATTCTTTATTGTTTGTGGTCGCAGAAAATTTGATGGATCGCTTATAGGAAAAGTTGGGGACCGAGCAAAGATCTTCGTGGAAACCCACCGCTGAGTCTCATGAAAGCATCACAAAACGGGAGATAATATGATATGTTGCAGAAGAAAAGCTTCAATTCAAACGATAAGAGAGTATGGATAATATGTACACATCGGTGCTTGGTGGTTCACTCGATCAAATATTTTGAGAATATCCCGATCAATAATGTTTAATGTAATATACACCTTAACCACTTTTTGCCAATTCTGTTGGACAAGTATCAGGTTGGCAGTGCATGATTACTTAACCGGAACATTTTTCAGTGGAGGTGACTGATGAAGCTTTATCCCCAGGTCAAATTGTGCTTCAGGAAAAGCCACCAAACTGTACCATTCTTCACATTTTTTCAGTTTATCAGTTCAGTGGTGGTTGGTGTAACTAAATCAAATTCCACGGAAACAAGCTGAGACGGGTAAAACCCAATTTACTCAGGACGGACATCGAATAGCGTTTCTCACGATTAGTACATTGCACATTCTGTATGTCTTGGCACATAACTACTTTATAATAGACTCAAAGAGTCTTGTATTTACTTTCTTAACGGGCCAGTTGAGCACAGCTTATCCGGATAGCACTGAGGACAAAAGTTTTCATCAACAGATTTTTATACACATCTTATTCTACCAGAAACCTCTTTGGACAGAAAGGACAAATGGGTGAGTGAACAGGAACGAACTACCAGAATTTTGCGGAATGGATTTACAAGGTAAATATGAAACAAGTATTGATCGATTAAATATTGGATTGACCAACAGAAAGACCAGTTACGTACTGCCCGATGACACTGTGCTGCTAGGGGGTGATGCGACCTAAAGCGATCTGAATTGAACTCTGACAGCAGATCTGGTGAGGTCATATGTTATCAGTTGGCAGAGGATCAAATTTTAAATCAGCACCATGGATTCAATTGCTGCATCAAAAACTTCAGTCCGCCGTTGAATTTCATGAGAACCGGAAGTTTCCTCAATAAAGTATTGATGAGTATGCAAGTAAAGCATCTTCAAGGTAAGAACGCGTTAGCGATATCCCGTTAGTTTATTTTTTCATACAGTTCGGATAAGCCAGAAACTTCTTGTCACCCCCGAATCCTAACCGGTCAAAAGTCCGTGGTCAAGAAATGAAAACTAAATTGTTTCAGAGGCCATGTGTTGTTAACCCAATTCCCTATGTGCATACTACCCAGACAACCGTTCGTTTGGTTTATGCCTCTTAACTGAAGTAGTCCACATAATGGTTTGCTCAGTAATATGTTAGTATTATATATACATATATATATATATATGTAGGTCCAATCGAAACTGAAGCAACGGGTCCCTCGGAAACATTTGTGGCTTTGTATAGGCAACAGCATTTATACAGGAGTATTTTTTTCCAAATTATAATAAACAAGTCTTGGACAATCTTTATAGCATTGATTTTCCTGATTCGTTTATACTCAGCAGATGGAATGTGTGTTTGTATGTGTGTAAATTAGAATGCTTATTTAGAATTCGTACACCATGCCCAGCAAACTTTTGTCGACAGTGAGATGTTCATATTGTGTCGCGAAGCTTTTCAATTTCCCTATCCCAACATAAATTTTATTGTTCTATGTCAATAGGGAATCTTTTCTGAGGATGCGTTGAACGCCACGTGGATCGAGGTTTATTTCGGCTTGAACACAGTTCAGGTGGATTTATCTTGAACCGACGGGACCACGAACAAGACCTAATCGAACTAATCAGTTCCTCCAAATGCAGTATAAACGCATCTATATTGCATAAGCGAACTGGATTGAATGAATGGAGAGATTTACAGTTCAACTGGACATAACTG